ATGCTCCAAGAGGCTATCAAGAAAGCGTTGATACACGCACCAGCGCGGCCCCCCCGAGGCCTGAAACTGCCTCCAAAATCCCGCCGAGAGGCCTCCCACGAGATCCCAACGAACACCCAATAGACCTCATACCCACAACCAAGGCACGGTAACAGGGTGGACCGAAGAACATTACAAGTCGGTCGGAATAAGTAGGTTAACGTATGAAGTAGGAAGGCGGATAAAGTAGATTGGGTTCAGGTCCTCCCAGAGAGCAACACACATAGCAAGAACATACCGACTCTGGAAGTAAGAAGGCGCTTGAAATAGATTGGGGCCTGGTCATCCAAAAAATACCTACTGGTTCACCGTCCGGCGTGTGGACATCTCTCGTCGCCCGAACGTAGCGGTCCTCATCTCATCGTCTTGACGGCACACAAGGCCCCCACGACTTGCTACAGGGCAGGTTTTAATACATAGGATGTTTTAAAATATCGGATTTTAATACATGATTAGTTTTTTTTTAATGTATGCATGTACTCATCGTTGTTCCCTACCTAGGCTCTGCCTAGAAGGGTTCTTACTCTCTTTGCTTAAAGGGCCGGGCAGTGCTAACCGCCCCGGGCGGTTCCCCCAGTCCCCGCCTCGCGGTTCCCACAGTCCCCTGGGAGCTTTAGCCTTAGCTTTAGCTTTAGCTTAGCTTTACCTTAGCTTAGCTTTAGCTTAGTGTTAGCTTAGCTTTAGCTTAGCTTTAGCTTAGCTTTAGCTTAGCTTCAGCTTAGTGTTAGTTTAGCTGTATCTTAGCTTTAGCTTAGCTTTAGCTTAGCTTCAGCTTAGCTTTAGCTTAGCTTCAGCTTAGCTTTAGCGTAGCTTTAGCTTGGTGTTAGCTTAGCCTTAGCTTAGCTTTAGCTTAGATTTAGCTTAGCTTTAGCTTAGCTTTAGCTTAGCTTCAGCTTAGTGTTAGCTTAGCTTTAGTTTAGGTTTAGCTGTGCTTTAGCTTAGCGTCAGCTTAGTGTTAGCTTAGCGTTAGCTTAGTGTTAGCTTACTGTTAGCTTAGCTTTACCTTAGCTTTAGCTTAGCTTTAGCTTAGCTTTAGCTTAGCTTTACCTTAGCTTTAGCTTAGCTTTAGCTTAGCTTTAGCTTAGCTTTAGCTTAGCTTTAACTTAGCTTTAGCTTAGCTTTAGCCTAGATTTAGCTTAGCGCTAGCTTAGCTTTAGCTTAGCTTTAGCTTAGCTTCAGCTTAGCGTTAGCTTAGCTTTAGCTTAGCCTTAGCTTAGCTTTAGCTTAGCTTTCGCTTAGCTTGAGCTTAGCTTTAGCTTAGCTTTCGCTTAGCTTGAGCTTAGCTTTAGCTTAGCTTTAGCTTATCTGTAGCTTTAGCTTTAGCTTAGCTTTAGCTTAGCTTTAGCTTATCTGTAGCTTTAGCTTTAGCTCAGCTTTAGCTTAGCTTTAGCTTAGCGTCAGCTTAGCTTTAGCTTAGTTTTAGCTTAGTGTTAGCTTAGCCTTAGCTTAGCCTTAGCTTAGCTTTAGCTTAGCTTTAGCTTAGCTTCAGCTTAGCTGTAGCTTAGCTTTAGCTTAGCTTTAGCTTAGCTTTAGCTTAGCTTTAGCTTAGCTTTACTGTTACTACTAATGCTGCTTTCCTAGGGGCTCCAACTCCTAGGTAGGGTCGCACTGGGATAATGTTAATACCAAATCCCTGCATTCTTAACACATGACCCGCACGCGGAGCACGTATCAAAAACGGCACTGTATACCGAAGGAGAGGGCTCCCGACGCAGGCGGCGCTCGGAAGGGAGGCGCGCGAGAAGGGAGCGCCGACGGCTCTGGTGCTCCAGCCCTCTCGGCCCCTGCTGGGCCCCAGGCCTTCCAGGGGGCCCAGGGATACTCAGATAAACATACAGTCAAAACGTATATTAAGGACGCGTGGTAAGGACGCAAGACCCTTGGAGGCTGAAGTTGGGTTTTTTTGGGCGGCGGCGACCAGTGAAAACGGCAAAGGACGGGCCACAGAGGCAAGGACGCAAGGGCATCCTAGATGAAGGCGCGCGTCCCTACTAGGCGCGTTGACTGTACGCGAGTTCCACGATTTCCATTCCATCTTTTCTGGGCTCTCGTCTTCAGCTCTGCTCCCTACAGCTTCCCACATTTGCCTGGAAATCGGCATTCCCTTGTGTCGGTGTCTATGTTTCCCTCCTGGGTTTTTTTGAAGGGAAAGAAGAACCTGAGTTCTGGGCGTTGCGATGCTTTCACACCAGGCGTCTTCGCCTGGTTTCGGGCCCCGGGACCATCACAGGTTGATCCGGCCCGAAAAATGCCGCAGAAAGATGGGGTCTAGGGCTCAGGTCGAGATTTTCTTCGCGATGCTGTATTTTGTTTGTATTTATCACGGAACGCTGACGATAACAAAGACTGAACGCGGAAACGTCGGTGCCGATCTTGGTCACCGCTCATCTTGGTCATCGTCAACTCTTGGACCGTTCTCGCGAATCGGCGACGGTCGACATGGACCACGACCAAGATCGGCGTCGACAAGGCCAGAGGGCCGAGAGCGGTGAGCACGACGGTGTTCCACCCCTTCCCCAGGCGCGCGCCAACATGAGCCAGGGACCCGTGGATCCGGCGCGTGGGCACCAAGTCCACGGACCGCGGAGGGTGCTCCCCGAAACGTGGGGCCCGCGCCGCCTCATCCTGCGACGCAGCGCGTCGACTCCGCACGGAAGCGGGGCCCGCTGCGCACCCGCGCGCCCTGATCCGTGTCCGCGACCCCCTGACGCTCGCACGAGAACGGCGCCCATACACCGTGCCGTGGCGAGCGTCTTCTTACTCGGCGTTTCGACACTGGGCGGCAAGGGGGGGAGGGAGGGGGGAGGGGGGTCTGGCTCTGGACCTCTGCTTCGTGCGACTGTTTGCAACAGTGCGTCCCATGGGGGAGACCCGACTTGCTCGAAACAGGCGCCAACAACAATCAAGATCTACTCCATGGGGGGGGAAGGGGGGTGCGAGAGCCCGCGCAAATCGGCAAAACAATAAAGAAGAAAGGCCCCCAAGAGGCCCCCAAGACGCCCCAAGAGGCGCCCAAGAGGCCCAAAAGAGGCCCCAAGAGGCCCCAAGAGGCCCCAAAACGGCCCCCAAGAGGCCCCAAAACTCGGCTAACCCACAACGGTGCGACAATATGGGCCGGCGGAATGAGCGAAGCGATTAAATAAATGAAGAAGAAAACGATAACATGTGTGGGCTCCCTTCAGGCCCCGCTCCAGCGCGGCACGATGCATGGTTTTCCGGCTCGGAGGACGAAGACAACTACGCGCCGTGCCATTCCTGGGGCGCACATCGAAGACGCCCAGGGAGACGCCAACGCGGCACGGTGCACACGAGTCGTCAGGGGCTTTCGGCCCCCGCGAAGCCCCAGGTATAGCAGAAGCTGGCGCGCTCCCGCCGACCCTGTCGGCGTGCGTGAGGGGCTTGTCTGTTCGAATCGTCGCCTCCGTCACTCGTCGTCTCCGTCGTCCCCTTTCCTTGCACCCTCCTCCTCAAGCTTGTCAAGCGAGAGAATAATCAAGCAACGTCGCGATCGAGTCGAAGGGAAGCCCCTTCCCTTTGATCCCTCTCCCGTCGAGGGGGGGGGGTCCTGGAGAGGGGTGGGGGGAGTGGCAGATACGCTTACCCCCCTGGGGGTCCTGGGGCCTCAGAGAACACCAAGACAGGCCAAGAGTGCCCCAAGAGGCCCCCCAGATGGTCCCAAAAGGCGCCCAGTCGTCAAATTTGAAGGGGCCCTGAGACACACAAATAAATACACACAAATAAAAGGATCCCCCATATTTTCCCATATCTTCTGGATTTTTGTCTTCCCCCTCACTTCCCATATTTTCCAATTTTTCTGGGGAATCGAGGATTAATTGTGTCTGTGTGTTTTTTCCCCTCCTGAAAATTATCGGTCCGAAGCGCCTTCACGCCTGGAGGGGGGGTGAGCCCTGGAGGAGGTCCCTGAAATCCGACGTCGAACAAAATACAGCATCGCAAAAAAACGCGCCCAGAGCCCTGGACCCCATCTTTCTGCATCGTTTGTCGGGCCGGATCGATCTGTGAGGGTCCCGGGGCCCGAGACTGAGGGAAACATTGCAACGCCAGGATCTCAGGGTAGAGGGGGTGGAGCGGATACGCATCTTCCACGCGGGCCTACCCATGTCGCTATAGTGTCGAAGGGAACCCCCCTCCCATTAATTGTTAATTTTCTCCAAGTCGGGTGTCGGGGGGAGGTCCTGGGGGCGTCCCAGACTCGTCGTCGTCGTCGGCGTCGTCGTCGTCGTCGGCGGCGTAGTCGGCGTCGTCGTCGTCGTCGCCGTCGCCGCTCCCCTCCCTTTTCACTGGGCCCTCCTCCTTGAGCGCGCTAGCCAAAGCGAAACAGCCTAAGCGAAATTGAATAGCGTCGTAGTTGAGTCGAAGGGGAGCCCGTTCTGTTGATCCCTTCCCCGCCGAGAGAGGGGGGCGGAAGAATTCCCAGAAGGTGTGGAGCGCGGAGGTCCTCGGGAGATTTACGGGGGAAATTTCTGGGTCATAATACCATCCCCCCCACGGAGTCCCAAGCCCACGAGGCCCCCCAGAGGCCACCACGGGGCCCCCAGGCCTCCGCAAGGAGCCGCCAGGAAACCCGAGGAGGCTCTCAAAAGGCTCCCCAGACACCTCCCCGACTTCGTGCGGTTTCTTGGACACCTCTTAAGTGCCTCGTGCAGCTTATGGGCACTCTTGGGAGCGTCTGCTCATGGCCTTCCCGCATGCCTCTTCCATCGTGGGTGTCCTCGTCCAGGGTCGGCGGCACCGGCCGTAAGGCCTTACCGGTTCCAGCAGCCCGAAGGGTGGTGGTGGTGGGCACGCGGCGTGTTCGCTGGCGCCCGCGTGTGCTTGCATGTGGGCACGGCTCGTCTGGACTTCGTGTGACGCCCGCAGAGCTGAACATGGTCGCAGGAAGCAAAAAGAATGCCCCCCCCTGGAGTGCGCACGCGTGCAGACAATAGCCGAGAGGCATGCCTCGAGGAGGTTCAGGCCCATATTCTTGGCCGCCGCGCGGTAGGCTTTGCCGATCTCCACACGCACCTGAAGGCGTGTATCCAAGATACGCGAGCAAGGGCACGCCACTGCCATTTTCCACCTGGAGCATGCGCACACGGTCGTGCATTGAATTCGCTTGACTGGAGATTCATTCGAGGATCTCACCAATGCCGGCAGAGATAACCCAACGAGATGCGGCACGAGGGAAGATGAAGCGGAACGGGCCCGGACTTGGTTCTCGGCAAGGCATTCCGCGCAATGGTGTTCAAATCTGCGTCTCTGACCGTGTACCCTGCGATGTGAAGATCGCCTTGGAAAGCAACATAGAGAAATACAAATGTGCCCACCCAGGCCACGCAGAACCCACTCTTCGAATGAAAAATCATCTGAAGGAATACTGGGCGCAAAGCTGACGGGACACTAACGAGCAGTGTACAGCGCTGGCGACAGAGAAGAGAACGAAGATCGGTCGGGGGCACGAAGATCGACCAAAACAGATGGCGAAAGATGAAGGGGACGAGGATGGAGAGGGGAAAGTGGGGGAGACGACGTAAAGCGAAACGGGCGCCTTGCGGACGATAGGCGCGAAACGCCAAAAGCGTAGCACGAGCGACTCGCGTGACAGAGGCGACCTATACACATGAATGTACATGTTTTCCCACGTGGACCCCAACATGACAACTCCTGCATTGTGGGCGTGGAAAATAAACGGTGCAAGACATGTTGTGCGAGATGTGTGGCGCCAGCTACGTAGTGTGATTCTCTAAATGGCGTAATATAAACGGTGTAGATATTCTACTATAAGGTACGCCGTGTTATGTGGAGGTTCAAGCTACGGTGCTCAAGTCGTATAACGCGATCAAACAATTGCAATTGGCGTTGAAGAAAATACGTACTGCAATGTAAATTACGCTGTCGAATAGTACAACTGGGCGAGCACAATTGGGCGACAAACGACTTCAGTAGTGGTAGGTGCAGCAGTAAAACCAGCAATGGCAAGGTCTGCTGAACCAGGAGCAAAAAGAGGAGCAGGAGGAGGGGGAACCCATCCATTGGAAACCAGAAAAAAAAAGTAACGATGCTCTCTTTGATTTGGGAACCGACGCATGGCAAAATCGAGCCGTCTTATTCCTTCGACCGCGCGCTGTCCGCGCCCAGCTGCTGTGTATAGCAGGCGGTCCGGGTCGCGCGCATCTGCTCTGCAGCGGATTGCTTCCAGCCTGCCTTGGCCGACCCGCACCGTAGCGCGCAACACTCTGGTGCTCCATCGTCGCGCCAGAACTGATTGGCCAGGTTACTCGGCAAGATGAACTCAGAGACGGTGATATACCAAAATCAAAAAATGCGACTGGTATCGCAAAGGCGATCAGCTCTTTTGCACAATGCTGGCAGATACGACGACGGCGCTCCTCCATGTCCAAAAAGCTGTCGCCACACGTGCCTCGAACTAATCGGCAAACGGAACCCTTGAACCATTGAGCCAGCGTGGGCCGAGACTGCGCGGGGCCCGCGGTGGCAAGCATTTTTTCCATCGCGGCGCGGCAGGGACGATCCGATCGCGCGTGGAGCAATTCTGGACTGCGGATTTGCGAACTGTCTCGCATACGAAAGGGGAGGAGCAGCAGAGGGCAACCGCTGGAGGGGGGGAGGAAAGGGGAGGACGCCTTCGCGCGGCAACGCCGCAGAGAGCGCGCGGGCAGGGCTGCGGGGCAGCCCCTGGCAGCGGCGCGGGGCGGCGGCGCGGGTGCACCCGGGGGGCGGGGCCGGCAGCCGCAGCGCGGGCGAGGCCCGGCCAGCGGGGGGGGGGAAGCGGCGGGCGGCAGGCGGACCAAGGGCGCCCGGGCGGGGGGGAGGCGTGGCGGCGGCGCCTATAAGAGCACGCGGCGGCGGGCGGAGCAGGCCGGCACGGTGCAGCAGGCGCGGGGTGGCGCTCGCCGAGGGGGGGGCGCGGGCGGCAGACGGGCGGAGCGCCACAGGGCACCGGGCGGTGCGGGCCGAGCAGGGGCGGCGAGGAGGCGAAGAGGGGGGGGGGGGCGGAGGAGCACAGCAGCCGTCCCGAGGCCGGCGCGCGCAGCACTGGCCAGGGAGAGGGCGGCGCCGCGGGCAGGTGGAGCACGGGGCGTGGGCTCCCGGCGGAGGCGAGGCAGGTGCGGGCGGAGAGCCGCAACGGCGCGGCTGCAGACATCACAGAGAGAGACTGCGCGGGCCCAGCGCCCTGGGTCAAGTTACTGAAATTATCCAGCGTGTTCGCGTCCAGGTGCGAACAGGTCCGCGCGAGCGCGTTGCGTCACGCGATCGGCAAGCGATCAGCGCAGAACAGATTGTCCGAGATGTGCCCCGTCAAATTCGCTGCAATCCAGGTGCGCCGCGCTCATCCAGCCGTCTGGCTCCGCGATGGCCGCACCACCAGGCCGCGCAACTGCGCCCGCTGCGATGAGTCCGCAGGCGTCCACGGGCTGGTCGCAGGCCAGGTCTGTGCGCGTCCGCCATCCCACTCTCCTGCGCAGGCCGCCGCTGCCCCGTTGCTGACGGAAGCGAGCGAGCCACCAGCGTGGCCAACGATGATGACGAAAGTCTGCTCCAGCAGCCCAAGGACGGATCACACTCGCCAAAGCTGCATCGCTGCAATCCGTGCCGGGCTGCACTGCAGCAGCCCCAGCAGCGCCCGCCACCGAAAACTCACGCAGCGCGTGTTCGCGACGCCGCGCAGGTGCGCGCAAGCAAGAGGCGGCACACCGACGACGCGCGACGGCTCGAGCCAAAACCGCCAGAGCTAGAATCGAAGAGGCGGCTGTCGCCCGCGAGGACTCCTCGGGAGTCTCTCGGCTGTCTCTTGGGGCGTCCTCCTAAGAGCACGTGCGGGCCACTTGGGGGCCTGAAGGCAGCAGCGCTCATGGGATTCTCTGGAGACGTATCCTCTTTGTGCGCGTACTGGGCCCCTTTTGGGGGGCTGGGCCGTCCTGGGGCTTGCTTGGAAGCCTTTCAGGCCGTCCTGGGCTCTCGGAAACCCGAAGAGGCGAACACTCTAAACTGGCTCAAACACTGAAGGGAAATGAATGCACATTTACATGTTGAAACCCTCTTGGGCGCCGAAAGCCACAATGCTGAAACTTCACCTTACTTTCTAGCTTCGGCATTACATGCTGTTTTGATAAAGCGGTATGATTTCCTACATGGCGCTGGTAGATTGTACGGCTTCCACGCATTCAATCTTCAGCGCGCCCCAGACCGCTGCACGGATTTCCAGATTCCACCCGAGACAGCCCGAAGAAGCCCCTGGGACTGAGCGACGACTACGAGCGGCGGCGAGCACACGGTGGCGAAAGCTCGGAAAGCCCAGCGACGACGAGACGAGCAGCGACGAGCGGCGACTACGAACGGCAACATGGCGAAACCTCGGCAAACCCAGCGACTGCGAGCAACGACGATCGCCGACGACGAAAGGCGCCGAGCGGCAACGTGGCGAAACCTCGGCAGACGCAGCCTTCACAAGCGGCGACGAGCGGAACCTTCGAGCAGCGACGAGCGGCAACGCGGCGAACCCTCGGCAGACCCAGCGACTACGAGCGGCAACGACGAGCGGCGGCTACGAGCGGAGACGAGCGGCAGCGCGGCGAAACGTCAGCAAACCCAGCGACCACGATCGGCGGTGCGCGGCGACTGAGAGCGGCGGCGCGCGGCAGCGCGGCAAAACCTTGGCAGGCCCAGCGAAGACGAGCGGCGACGCCACACGGCGACTACGAGCAGCGACGCACGGGCGGCCACGGGTCGAACCGCCCACTCGGGTCGGGCGAAAGGGGGGGACAGCAAAGGGGGGGGGTGAGAATCAGCTCACGTAGCTGATTTTCCCGGCGCCTCCCGGCGCCGGAGGCGGCTATGTATCGAGGAATGGGCCCCTCGGTGAGGCCGAAACCAGCTGCATGCAGCAAATTTCGTAACCCCCCCTTTCCCAATCCCCCCCTTTCGCCCGGCCCGATCCACACACACACACACACACACACACACAGCGTCTTCGAGCGACGACTGCGACCGGCGACACGCGGGCACGGGCGAGTCCTCGACGCGCCCACAAGACGACGACGGCCGGCGACGAGCGGCGACGCCGAGCTGCGACGAGCTGGCCACGGGGCGCATCCTCGGCGCGCCCAGGAGCGCGTTTTTTTTCGCTTTCGGCGATCGTGGGCGTTCTAGGAGGGGGGGAGGGGGGCGGAGGTGGGCATAACGTAGCGCCCCCCCCCCGCCGTGTGGCTCCGGCACCACAGGAGCCGGTTTTTTATTTTCCAGGATGGCGGCCGTCATCAGCCCCGCCCTCCCCCACCCCAGATGACGTCACGTTCCGCGCCGGATGCCCAGGGATGACCAAGGCCAACTAGGAGCAGCCTGTAGGTGGCGCTCTGCCCCACAGCGCTTGTGTACACGACAGTGCTCGCGTGCACCACAGCGCTCGTGTACACCACAGCGCCTGCGTACACCGCAACAGCTGTGTGCAACGCAGCACCTGTGTACACCACAGTGCTTGCGTGCACCACGGCGCCGGTGTACACCACAGCGAATGTGTACACCGCAGCGACCATGTGGAACACAGCGCCTGTGTACACCACGATGCTTGCGTGCACCGCAACGCCTGTGCACACCACAGCGCATGTCTACATCACAGCATCTGCGTGCAACGCAGCGCTGGTGTACACCACAGCGCCTGCGTGCACAAGACAGATAGAAAGAGCATGTAAGTGAGAAATCAGCTGCGGACAGCTAAACACCACGCCAGGAAAATCTTGATGATAGAATGGGACGCTCTTCCTTCCGCCCTCCTCCTCCCCCTCCCCCTCCACCTCCACCTCCACCTCCTCCTCCTCTTCCTCCTCCTCCTCCTCCCTCCTCACCCTTCCCCCCTGTCGTTCGGGTCGGCGCTACAGCGCACGTGCGCATCTCAGCGCGCACTGCAGAATGGTCTTTTGAATCAGTCCATTTGGTTCTCGGATGGCCAATTCAGCTGGAGCCTCCTGGACAAATATGGGGGGTGTTCGGATTATGCGGGAAGACTCGTAGATTCCAGCGGCGCTCCATTTTCCATCAGGATTCCAATCCCAATCCTATATAAAACAACTGTTTTCGGTGGAATCCACAAGCGTTCCAGTTTGTCATAAGGATTCCTTCTAAAATTCTATATGCAACAAATGTGCTCTGTTGCACACGGTTGCTGTGGTGCACCCAGGCGCCGTGGTGTACACAGGCGCTGCAGTGCACACAGGCATTGTGGTGTACACTGGTGTTGTGTTGCACACGGCTGATGTGGTGTACGCAGGCGCTGTGGTGTACACAAGTGCTGTGGTGCCCGCAGGCACTGTGGCGCACACTGGCGCTGTGTTGCACGCGGCTGCTGTGTTGTACATAGGCTGCGTGGTGTACACAGGCGCTGTGGTGCACGCAGGCACTATGGTTTACACGGGAGCTGTGGTGCGGACTACATGCTGCTGCTAGTTACCCGTCCGCGGTCATCCCTAGGCATTCCCAGACGGCGGCGGGGCGAAACGTGACGTCCTCGGCCTCGTCCCCCCCTACATTTCGGCCGCCATCGGCCCGTGCCGAGGAGCACCCCGCCCTGCCTCCAGGGTGCCCTGGGCTGCCTGGGCCTCGATGCTTTTTTGCCAGGGGAAGCGTGACCTTCCCACACTCGAGCTCCAAAAGTCCGTGGAGGTCCTGGGGCCTCAGGGTTGGGTCTCTTGTGGAAGGTCTCTACTGCTGGACTGGCCTCCACTGCACGCCACGAAAATCGCAGCCCCTCGTGAGCGTGTTCTCGAATGCGGCGTTTCGACATTGGGCGGAAAGGGCAGGGGGAAGGGGGGGGTCTGGCTCCGAACCTCTGCTTCGTGCGGCTGGTTGCAGCAGTGCGTTCTGTGGGCGGACTCCACCTGCTTGAAACAGGCGCCAGAAACGGCCAAGATCTACTCCATGGGGGGGGGAGGGGAATGCGAGGGCCCGCGCCGATCGGCAAAACAATGAATCAGAAAACGATCACCTCCAGGGCCCAGGGCGGTCCTTGTTTCAGCGTCTCGACTGCATCTCCGACAGGGGATCTGTCGACTCCTGTAGTTATCCCAGGCTCCGTGGGGCTCTCGAGCGGACTAGAAAGCTGGGGCCCCACCCTGGGATGGGCGATGGGGAGGGCGTCCATCCTCGATACAGGGTGCGTCCGAATAGCCCCCCTTGGGGTGCATCCCTAGAAGAAAAAGAAGAAGGAGGAGGAGAAGAAGAAGAAAAAGAAGAAGAAGAAGCATAATAAGCATAATGCTACTACTACTACTACTACTACTACTACTACTACTACTACTACTACTGCTACTACTACTACTACTACTACTACTACTACTACTACTACTACTACTACTACTACTACTACTACTACTACTACTAATAATAATAATAATAATAATGACACTAATAATAATAATTATTATTATTAGTATAACGCTATAAACATAAACTGTTGGCGCTCCGCGCGGATCTCTTGGATTTGCGCTGGACCCCCCTCCCTGGCGCGCGGAGCGCGCCAGGGGCTGCGCCAGAGGCGCCGCTGGGGGGGCCCAGCACGGATCCAAGAAATCCGCGCGAAGCGCCAAAAGTTTATGTTTATGGCGTTGTTTCTTCCTCCAGGGTCCCCCCCTTTTCCTGAGCGGCCAAAGCGTTCGGGCAGAGCTCGGGTTAGGTCCAGCTTGTCTTCCTACAGGCGGATTTTGGACGAAACTAATTGAAAAAATAGCCACAATATTCTCAAATATAGCCCAAAAAAAATCAAAACAAATCGTCCCCAGAGAATTCTTCTCCTACTTTTGGATATTCCCCCTCTAGAGGGACACGCCCGCCTTACAGCTCGGCGGCTGTGCGGAAGGGGCAAAAACCGCCTGCGGGCGCGTACAGCTGCTGCCGAAACCTGAGGCCGGTGCCGCTCCCCTCGCAGCGGCCCCCCCCCCATCTCCGCGCCTGCCTGGGCGCGGCATCCCGCGGAGGTGCTGCTCGTCCGTGAGCGTGTGAGCTCGGAGCTCGGGCGACTCACGAGGCTGAGCTCTGACGACTGGCTGGGCTCTGAAGACCCCCCCCGCCGACCACCCTCGCTCGATCTCTCCCCCCCCCGCGGGCCAAGGAGAGATTCTGGAGCAGATCCCGCCGCCTGCAAGAATTCTGCGAAGTCGCTCTCCGTCCACCACAACTCGGCCTTGCTCTCGTGGCAGAGCAGGGTGAAGTCCTTGCCGAGCTTCTGAGAGACCTCGCAAGCGACGATGATGCGCGGCGACCAGAAGTTTGAATGCATAAGGGTCGCGTTTTCTCTTCTACACGCTAATCCAAACAGTGATTCTTACTTCCCCTCAATGGAACTGGGCCCGTTTGCGCCCCCAGCGGGTCCGTTCCCACCCGTCGCCGTCCGTCGCCGCCTTCTTTTGACCCGTCTGCGCCCCCGGCAGGTTCGTTCCTGCCTGTCGCCGCCCCCACAGTGCACTCCCCCCCCACCCCGCTGCACCTCCCCCCCGGTCGCATCGTAAGCTTCGCATCGCTTTGCATTGCTTTGCATTGTTCTGCATCGCTTTGCATCGCTTTGCATTGTTTTGCATTGATTTACATTGTGTTGCACTGCTCTGCATCGCATTACATTGGTTTGCAATGAGTTGCACTGCTTTGCATTGCTTTGCATCGCTTTGCATTACATTGCATTGGTTGGAGTTGCATTGCTTTGCATTGATTTGCATGGTGGGTTACTGCTGTGCACTGTGTTGCATTGTTCTGAATTGTGTTGCATTGCTGTGCATTGCATCGTATTGCATTGCTGTGTTTTGATGTGCATTACTTCCCACTGCTCTGCATCGCATCACATTGTTTTACATGGCGTTGCATGGCTTTGCATCGCATGGCACCACATCGATTGCACCACATGGATTGCACCACCTAGATTGCACCACATTTATGGCACCAAGCACCGCATAGATTGCAAGAAATCACTGTTTGGGGTCCA